TTTTGATTTTTTTTCTGATTGATCCCTTTCCAAAGAAGTATTCAGGTATTTGTCTTCAATCTCATTAATTCTGTCTTTCATTGATTCAATTCTACTCCTTTGCCCTTTCAATGTGTTATCTATTTCTGACAACTTAGTATTAATCTTCTGGATTTCCCTCTGTAGATTTTGTATCATTTCTAATTTTTCATTTATTTTGTCATTTTGTTCTTGTATTTTCTTCCAAAATTGTTGTAGGGTTTTGTCTGTGTTTTCCTTGATTTTGTTATTGTTTTCCTTGATCTGTCTCTCAGTCCTTTGAAGGTACCTAAATATAATTCTTTTGAATTGCTTATCAGGGAGTTCCAATGCTGCTGCTTCTTCAGGGATGTGTTCTGGGTCTGTATCCTTCTCCCTTATTTTTACTGCTTTATCTTGCTTCTTTGTGTGGTCTGTGATGCTCTTTTGTCTCCAAGGCACTGTGACATTGTTGTATTTAGATCTCTGCTAACTTTCCAGTCCTTCACATCTAGTATGTCCTTGTTATTCCCAGCAAGTGCAGCCTATTCTTAGGTCCCTGAAATCTGAGAGAACACTGTTGCTTTAAATATCCAAAATGGTCAAACTGCTTATAAGCATTCAAAATAGCTGCACCCTCTGGACAGGCAAAAGTCTACAGCTTAGCCTGTCTCCCTCTTCGCTGCTTCCCCTTTTATTCCCCAGCTACCAGTGCAATCCTCCATGCAGCCCCTGGCTAGCAGGGCTGATTTTTAGGTTAAGTCTTAGGTCCTAACTCCCCTTGGCAATATCCAAGCTGTCCATGCCATCAGGCTTGCTGGCAGCCTGCAGCTCCATATATCTCTTTTTCGGTGTTTTCATGCAGGTTCTTCTACTAGTTAGAGTTTAGTCCACATCTCTATTCTTCCTTTCAAAGCTCAGTCCTCCAGGATTATCTTCTGTATCTGTGTTGATTGGTTCCCCTTTTCTTTGTGAAGAAGGTCTGTGTAGTTTGTCTGCCTATTCTGCAATCTTACCAGAACCCTTCCATATTCTTTTGATGCTTCCTGCATCATTCAGTATTTTGCCCATAGAATCCTTCAATTTTGCAACTCAAGACTTGATTTTTTTTCTTCATTTCTTTCATCTTGAGAAATGTGAAATGTATTCTTCCCATTTGGTTTCCTAATTCCAGATCTTTGCACATTTCATAATAATAATTACTTTGTGCTCTTAAGCTGCTTTTTGAAATCTTCTGTTCAGCTCTTTTATCTTGTCATTTGTCCCATTTTCTTTAGTGAGTCTCCATTCAAGAGCAAGTTTCATAGTCTCTTCAGACATCCATTTTGGTCTTTTCTTCTTTTCCTGTCTTTTTAATGACATTTTGCTTTCTTCATGTATGATGTTCTTGATGTCATCCCACAACTCATCTATTCTATTCATCAAATCTGTTCTTCAGATGATCTCTAAATTCAGATGTTATGTAATCAAGGTCATATTTTGGCTTTCATGGACTTGTTTTAAATTTCTTCAGCCTAGTACCTGGTAAGTGCTTAATAAATTACATCAATGTCATTCTTACTGCCATTAGCAAGGTTAAAGACTTTAGGGATTCTAAGAAAATGTTTTATGATGGGAGACACCTCCAAAAGAGATCACACTTTTACCCCTAGCAGAAAAGGCTCACATATCCTTTAGGGGACAGTTAAGGGTGAAACATGGCACCATATTGAACTACTAACCAAGATAATGTAATTTTGGAAACTGAGACAGAAAGGGATCATGTGTGTCAGCAGGGCTGACAGAAACTTTGTGGAGGAGAGAGGACACAAGCCAAGAATTCATACTGTTTTATTCCTTTCTTGCATCAGCCCCAGAGCACCCACTCACATACTCATGGCAGGGAGAATTTGGGCAAAGAACTACCCCAGAGGCACCTTCTTCATCCACCAACCACAAGAGCTTCAGGGGATGTGGGTGAAGAAATTGGGCCAGCCATGGGATACCTGGCCTTGCATGCTGAGTTCTGCTTCAATGTTGGAATCTTGAGGATGACTTAAACAGAAGCCCACATGACCCATGGCCTAGACTCCACAAAGATTGTCATCTGTTCCAGTAGGGTCAAGGGAGATGAATAGCTCAAAGGGATCTCACACTTTAGGAATGTATGATTGAAACATGTATTCTTTCTGAAACTTCAGACCATATAAGAAACTTTCCTATGAGATTTTAAGAGAGATTGGTTTTATAATAGGCTTGAAAAATATTTCCTTCTGAAGAAGAAAATATTATAGAATTTTAAAGGTAAGCTTAAAGAAGAGGACTGAAGAAGGACAGACTGAGTTTTGGGGTGCTTTGGGCATCACACTTTACCTCTTCCTAAGTTCATTTGAAGCTTGCATACCACATGGGATTCTGGCAACCAAACAGAAGGCATTTATTTCTTTACAAAGACAAGGCATAGTCGAGGAAAGGATGAGTTCTGAGGAGATAGAAAGCATTTTATGCCTTAAGGCTCAAAAGCAAAAGAAGCATAGAGGAGGAAAAAGTAAAAGTAAAAGGTTCTGAGTAAAAAAGCCTAATACTTCAATTCTGGTTTTTACTGACTTTTATTTACAAATAACAGGGACCTGTTTTTTTTTTTTTTTTTTTTTCAGGCCTATTCAAAAACCTTTTCTCTATAAAGGACAGGAGGAGCTCTGGTAGCATAGTGCCTAAGGCACTTGCCTGCTAACCAGACGGCTGGCGGTTCAAACCCACCAGCCACTCCTCGGAAGGAAGGTTGGGCAATCCTACTTCCGTAGTGATACTGCCTCGGAAACCCAAGGAGGGGTCGCTATGAGTCGGGGCCGATTCGACGGCAAACAACAACAATTATAAAGGACAAACAAAGGCAATTAGGGCTCTGAGAAGCACACAAGCAAAGTTTGAAACAATTTCACTTTCTAGAAGACAAATCTGTTATTTAGGCCTTCATGAATTCTTTCCAGACCAGGGATGTGTAGGCCAGTACAGTTTTAGCACCACCCACTGAATGTGTAGTGGGAGGTCCCTAAGCCATCTAGATATGAGGAAAGCAAGGACCAAAGAAATTAGTGGACTTACTTGACAATAGCTAGTTAGAATAGAAAGGAGCTTTGGTGGCATTGTGATTAAGACATTGAACTGCTAACCAAAAGGTGGGCAGTTCAAACCCAACAGCCACTCCACAGGAGAAAGACAAGGCAGTCTGTTTCTGTAAAGATTTACAGACTTGGAAATCCTATGGGGGTCTCTATGACTCAAAATCCACTTGATGACAGTGGGTTAGTTAGATTATAACAAGGTAACTAACTGTATGAAGTCCCTAAGTGGCACAAACAGTTAACGTGCTCAATGCTAACCAAAAGGCTGGCAATTCAAATCCACTCTGGGGATCCTCAGAAGACTGGCCTGACAATTTAGAAAAAAACAGCCACTGAAAATTCTATGGAGCACAGTTCAAGACTGACATATTTGGGCTTGCCATGATTAGAATCAACTTCATGGCAATTGGTTTGGTTTAGATTTCTTAACTATCTATATACTTACAGAAACATATGAGTTATAGACAACTAGTACTTGCTCTTTAATCTTATATAAATTTGCCCTCACTTTGAAACAATTGAACACCTAACTCAAAGCCAGACCCACTGCTATCAAGTCAATTCCAACTCATGATGACCTTATAGGACACAATAGAACTGCCCCATAGGATTTCTTAGTCTGTAAACCTTTATGGAAGCAGACTGCCTCATCTTTCTCCCACTGAGTTGCTGGTGGGTTCAAACCACCAACTTTTGGTTGGCAGCCATGCTTTGACCGCTGTGCCACCAAATCTCCTTTCTTGCACTAAAGTAAGGCTAAATAAGAATCATATGCACCTCTTCCAATGTACCTACAAATTCAACTTAAAGATGTACTTAGGAACAGATCTCCTTCATACCCCAGGCACTTGTCCATGAGAACTATTGGTTATCTCTTATGCTTTCCTCTATACTATATGTGTCTGAAGGGCCCTGGTGGCATTTTATACATGTTTGTATCCTTCGCCATGGGCCTCTGTCTTCACCCTTCACCCTCACGTCTTCCCCCCCGTGTGTGCTTCTCTGTCTATTCTGCTGTTTTGAGAAGACACCATCAGAAGTGATGAGGTTTAAGACCCACTCTGTTCTGCTCTGGCCTAAATAGCATAATAAAAGAAACCTCCTTTTTCCAAACAGGGTCATATGCACAGGTACAGAGGTCAGGGTTTCCACATAATGTTTTGGGGGACAAAATTCTGTCCATAACAGAGACTTAAAACAACTATGGTGTGTTTCTGCTCAGCATCTGCAGGTCAGCTGGAGTTTGACTAACCTAGCCTGACTTGCTTGGCCCTGGCTCCAAGCTGGAGGAGGCTGGGCCTTGGTCTGCTCCATGTGTCTCTCATCCTCTTTAGGCCAGTAGTTACACAAGGCAGGTTCTTCTCACACTGACAGCAGAAGCCCAGTTCAAGGCTCTGTGGGGATCATATCTGCTAACATCCCCTTGTTCAAAGCAAGTCATTGGGCCAAGCCCAAAGTAAAGGGATGGAGGAGTATTCTCCACCTACCAGGCAGGCATGGAAAGTGTGTGGATGTGTTAATACTACTACATGGGACTGAAAAATTATCACTGACAATTCAACTTAACAGGAGCACTTTTCACAGGACCTGATACATTCCATAAATATCAACTAATATTATGCATTCTTAAGGAGCCTTTCTTGGTAGACATACAAAGTCTTACATTAATACAAGTGTAATGCCTAAGGCATTTGATTGCTAAACAGAAGGCTGGCAGTTCAAACCTACCAACCACTCCTCAGAAGGAAGGTTAGGCAATCTACTTCCGTAGTGATACTGCCTCAGAAACCCAAGGAAGAGGTCGCTATGAGTCAGATCTGACTGGAGGGCAGAGTTTGTTTGAGTCTTTGTCCTGCAAGGTATAACTTTTTGCTTTACCTGTTTCTTCTCCTCCCACAGATTTACTTTGCATCAAGGACAAGCTGTCAGCCAGTTTCTGCCAGACACTGAAAACCATGAAGAAATGCTCCATGCCCACTGTGAGGGCTCAGTGCTGCCTCTCGTGTGCCCAAACTCACATGGTTCATGCCCAAAGGCCAAGAAAGCGACAGACACTCAAAAGCCTCAAATCACTCTGAGTCCAGGAGGAAGCCACACTCCCTGTGGCCTGCAGCAGCTGCTGACCACAACACGTTCTAGTTCCAGAGGCCACTTCATTGAGATTTCAGTCTGCTTTAAGTTTGGGTCATAAAAAAACAGATTCCACTGTGTTCCAGTATCCACACAATGCCCTCACAGGAGGTATGGACTATAACACTGCCGGCCAGAAGTGAGGGTGAAACGTCTAGGAGAATCAGGTGTGTCTGGGGATCAGTTCCTGAGAAAGGTGCTAGATGAGGTAGGCCTGTGAAGTGGGGCCCCTTTTTCCACACTAAAAGACAAAAACAGACCAGTTTCCCCAAACTACCTCAAGAGTACAAGGAAACAGAGCCACACTTATCCCAGGAACCAATCAGTTTAATTGACCTTGTTGAAATCGGCCTTTTTTCTTCTTCTTTTTCTTTTTCCTGGGGCAACTGCTGTTTAAAATATTATGAAGGAACTTGCAGGATTACTTCTGTAATTTAATGAGGCAGAGGGCCTCTTCCTTCACCCTGTATTCAGCTAGAGCAGGAAGGGAAAGTGCTAGTCATGTCCCTCAGTCAATCCCTCAATTTCTGTTGGACTCCATTTTTGGTTTGTTACTCCAAAACATTTCTGATTGGAGAATAATTTCTAAAAAATGATAATAATAATTAAAAATTTTTAATTAAATGCTTTCAATTTCATTTACATTTTTACAAAATTAATTAAATGTATTCAAATCACAAAGCGTTTTAATAACAAATACTTTTTAAATTAAATTTTTTTTTTTAATTTAAATGAACAGGTATCAATTTCCTCATAATATAAAAAAGGGACTGTGGGCCTTATTCTTCTTACTTTCCTGGTAAATGTTCGTTTCTTCCCAGAAGAACCAGTGAGTCGTCCTATCTGGCTTTCCTTCTCCTGCAGATTCCCTGCCTGAGCCATTATCTCCTCTGGACTCCCCATCATTTTGCTGCAGGGGTTTTATACACAGACTGCTCTAGCCAGACCCAGAGTTGCAGTCTTCCCTGCTCTCTCGCACTCGGAGAGGAAAATGGGGCTCTAGGTAGAGATGTTTTAAAGAACCTATAAATTGTGTTTATTACACGAATTTGTACAGACTTCTAGGCTAGAGAAAAAAGCTTCTAAAAGAATTAAGTAAAGATAATCTGCTACTCAGTGCACCCAGTAGTTACTTTTAAGGGTTCCCCCCTCCCTTTTTCCTTGTGATCAACAGGCAAGTCAGGGGAGTCTGGAAACCTGAAACGTAAGTCAGCATGTCTACCTGGATGCTCCTACCACCCGTCAGAAGTCAGGGTGGACTCTGTTCTCAAATTCAGGGCAAATTTCCAGGCAAACTAGTTTCTAAGGGGAAGTTCTAACATGAACTGAACCTGGAAAGAGCATGGATGAGTAGAGGGGTGTAACCTCCAAGAGGAGAAAGCCCTCTGGACCAACTCTTGACAGAGGGGAAGGCAGGGGCGTGACCTTCATATAATAGGCAGCATGTATGTATTTATTCCTGTCCACAGGCCTACTTCCTATTCATCCTGGGGCATGATATCCCACACCCCCCTTTTATTCTCTATCCGTTCAGCAGAATGGTGCTATTGAAAAATGGTGCTAATATCCAGATGGTGTCAGAACTAATATAAACATAGATAAATGTACAAGTGAGTATGTGTATGTGAAACTCTGCCCACACATCCTCTGTTCAGTGTGTATCGGTATTGCTGGCCAATGCCAACTCTATTGCCTGGATACCATGAGCTTAACTCTTTCATGACCAAATTATTTTCTGCTCTGAATTTTTCCTTAATACCATCTGTTTTCTGTAGCAGAAAGAATGCTGAAATCAAGGGGAAAAAAATGTTAAGGTCCTATGGATTTTGATACGATTATGTGGGACACATATGTCCCAAGTAGACTCTGGTGGTAAGATTGCTGGGGTGAGGCTTGTTTCTTCAGATTCACACACTTATACAGATTCCCACCAGGTGGAAGTGAGTACTACAACTGAAATAGAACCTGTCTGAGAAATCTAAGAGGTTGAAAATCTTGATGGGTGATATATATATATATATATATATATCCTCAAGTCATGAAAGGGTTAAATTTTACATTATGTTCTCTTCCCCCCCCCCCCCAAGCCTTTAATGTGTATTACTCTGTAAATTCTCATGGAAAATCAAACACTGGGATTGGGATGAAATTCATGGTAGGCCAGAAACAAGGTGAAAGTAGAAATGTTTACCCTTTTAAAGGCAGGAGATTAATTTCTAAACAATAATTGCATTATTGTATCCTCTGTAGTTAAGTGTAAACATTGCTGGCCACTGACAAGCTCTGGTGAAACAACAGTTTTAGAGAGGAGAGGATGTTTAGATTGTTAATCACAGGAGTGGAGGAGAGCCTGATTTTTTCTAATGAAGCAATTTGCAAAGATTGTTCCTGAAGTATAGGCTTTCAAGGGGATTAATTCAGTAAACTGGACTAATTTAATTTAACCTGGTACTGTACTATCCTAGGGTCAAATGCATGTCATCAGAGACCTGGGTGTGGCCAGGTGTCCAAATCTCAGGATCAAACCCAGATTCTTATTGACTCCAACAAACTAAAGTAGGCCAGATTCCTAGTAGACACAACACTCATGTTATTTATGACCCACAAGGTGGGTTAGGTGGGAGGCATATGGGGAAAGTCTGGCCAGGTGCTTCATTCTAGACCTTTCCCCAGTTCCTCAAAGGCCAAACGTTGACCCTTAATCATCTGTCATGGACATTCACTTCCTATAATGAGGATCTGTTGTGAGATGGATCTGTGACATCAGTCATTCTGGCTCCTTGCTGTAGGAGTTGTCTAGAATCCTCAAGGTTGCCTTGACAACAACCATGTAGATTCCTCTTTCTTCCTATTTCTAATGAGCAAGTGAAAAGTGTAATGAGAGACACTGGATACATGTACATGATAAATCAGAAAGGACTGTCACAGGCCTGGTGCTAAAATACATTAAGGTTCTAAAACCCAGTTCAGTTTACATTGCCTTTCATAAGTATAGAGTTAGCTCTTCACTGAAAAGTTATGGATTAATTTAATTCTTGAACATCCATGCATCATTAAATACACCATGAAAGCAAAGTATTTCAAGATACTTAATAGTAAATACTTTTTTAAAATAGAAAATAATTTTCTGATACAAACAATTGTCTCCTTTTGTAGGGATGATTTGTTTTATGATGAGTTTTCCAAAACAGAGCCCATCTCCAGCCAATGTCCTGAGACATCCAAATCTCCCAGCTATAGTAACGAGATGATTTTAGATATTCAGTGAATATTTTTTTTATAACCTTTCTCAAGTACCTGATGTTTTTGATAACCTTCGCCAAGTATCTGATCAAGTACTTTCATCAACAACTTGAGAGACTACATTATTTCAGGCCGTAATTTCACTTTCAATCAACTAACATCCTCCAGACTCTGAAATCTGCCCATTGCTACCCCAGGGATTGCAGATCTTAGTTCTTGTTCCTTCTATAAAAGGTAAAGCCCTGGGGCAGTTTACCTATTGCTCAGTGCATGTTGATTCACTTTCAGGGAGAGACCACATAACATGAAGTGCCTGGTGCTACAACCTAGCCAGCATATTTTATGCTACTCCTGTTGTTGTTATTGCTTATTCAAGTATTAATGTTATTGTTACTATTATAAGAAGTCCCCAGATTACAAACAAGTTCTGTTCCTAAGTCTGTCTGAAGTCAAATTTGGAAGTAAGTCAGAACAGTTAGGTATGGTTTATATCTAATATCAGTTAGTCAAATATTTGTCTTAGTATACAGTATATATATATATATATATATATACATATATATATATATACATATATATATATATATGTATAAAAACATTAAAGAAACATTTCCAGATATGCTAAAACATCTTTAACATAATAATATAGTAATAATAATGATGCTTCAATACGTGTCGCAAAGCAGTGCCTGTTTGCTATTATGAACCATTGTATGTACTTTGAAGTTTTAATCTAATGGGCTTTGCATGGGTTGGTTCATAACTATGAGTTGTATGTAAGTTGGATATTTGTAACCCAGGGACTACCTGTATTATTATTTTAAGTTATGTCATTTAAAAGAGAAAAAAAAAAACTGGTTGAGGAAGCACAATTCTACCCATCATTGTCCTGAAACATGGTTGTATGACACACATGACCCAACCTACACCCTCCTGGCCTCTCAGTGCTGTTTTGCCAATCCCCCTCCCCCAGCCTCCTTAGGGAGTGCTTATGTACCCTACTGTTTAAAACCAGACTGTAATCATAGCCTGCCTTTGTGTGGCATCAATAAATGGCTGAATTCATTGATGTTTCCATGTGATTCATTAACTCTGCTGTAAGCCTCCCACCTGCCAGCAGTACCTCCCTGGAGTTAGCAGCCAGGAGAAGGATGCTGTCAGCTGTTTCCTTCCATACTCTTTCCAGATACCCTCCAACTCTACCCCTAGATCAGTCCATCACCAAATGGGTCCCATTTCAGGTGAGGTAGAACTTAGTTATCTTCTCATGAGTAATTAACTATACAATGACATCAGTCTACCATATGATGATTTCAAGTGATGGTTACAATTCCCCCACATATTGGATCTGAAGTATTTAGAATTGTAGCTCACAGCATTACCTACTCCTGAGCTATCCAAAAGAAGGAGTCAGCCACAGGAATCTAGGTGAGGGGAGGGAACCCAGGCCACACCCCAAAGCAGCAAGGTGGGAAAGCGTGAGAAAGGACAGAAAATGGCCAGGGGGACCAGGACAGAGTGAGAAGGCAGCAGCAGGGATCCATGTAAGGGGAGGTTGAAGAGGTTTCAAATAAACTTGTCTGTCAGCTTGTCCTACTGTGATGACGTGTTGTTGTGAGTCTTGAGGCTCTGCCACCAGTGTTTCAAACCCAGTGGGGTGCACATAGTGCACAGGTTTCAGTGCAGCTTGCAGACTGAGACAGAC